AATAGAATTATTCGACTGTTAAAAACATTTGCACGCTATAATCTCGAAAAATGCATCGTTATTCTCTCAAACGTTGAACGCGAAACAATTCTTTCTAGCGTAGTAATCCGTGTAGGAGAACACGAGGTACATACATCGTATTGTTGAAAGGTAATTTAACATGCGGTCGCGGTGGAAAAGTTTGAAGCCATATTCGAGTCGAGCGAATGCATTAATTATCGCTTCCAGACACGAGGGAGTTAGATATAATCCTAAAATTGCACGCGTCACTTACGTGGTAACGCAAACACACGCGCGCGCACGATATCGGTCGGACACAGGTTCGAGGGGGTTGTAGTAAACGGTCAACAACGGTGCACAGAGTCTCTCGTCTGGATAACACCCTAGAGCTAAAGAGTGTATTAGCGCGCGTCAGATCGTTAGGGTCTACATGATGTCAAGCGCATACATCCCGGCGTATGAAAATTTGCGGGGCTGGAGTATAGGTGAATTAATTCGTCGCACAGACGAATACAACTTTCTCACCTTTTAGAGTCTACCCCGTGTGTGGGTTATAACGTTCGACGTGTATAATTACCCGCCGTTTCGCAGCCGTTTGTTAACTTGTTTATTTAATATGACGTTTTTCGTTTGACGTTGCGCTAGAAATCAGTGTTTGCTGGTCTCGAAATAGAATTATACAGATGGTCATCCGGACGAAGTTTTCGTGTCATCTTATCTTTAGATAGATATTAATCAAAATGTGTATTATTTATATCTGAATCCTGGATGAAAAAAGTGTTGAATATTATTATTAAGTAGCAGAACTTGAGCAGTAAGCGATCGAAACTTAGAAATAAAAATATAAATATATTTTTATATTCCTTTTATGATTTACGTTTTTTTATAACTTTACATAAGCGGTCTTAATAATAATGTTATCTGGATGAATCGCTAATATAGTTTTATTCTCTTTTATCTAGATATATTTAAAGCAAAATCATCTTCATCTTAAATCTAAGATAAATTTGCATATTTTTATCTCATCTTTCAATAAGAGAGATCGTCCCAAATGAATAAATGAATCATCGCTATTAGTTTCCAATGATAGATACTTGGAATTTAAAGATTGATTTCTCTTTAACGAGATTTTGAAAAAAAAACATGTTTTATTAAGGCAGATATGAGGAACGATAAGTATAAGAGTTATAATTTTATTGTTAATAAAATTTTTATTGTGGAAAAGTTTAAAAATTCTCGCAAATTAAATTTTATAGGTGTACGGAATAGATGATAAAATTTTTAATTTCTATTTGGCTAGAATAATTTTTATTTGATAATGTTAATTTAATTGTAGAATTTTATCAGAATATTTTAAAGATGAAAAATATATAACATTAAAAATATTAATTATCATTCTCATTCGGTATGTATATTTTTTTAATATTTTTTAAATACCTATTGGGAAATTTATCTCATCACTAGTAAAATTTAATATTTGTTACGAAATATTTCGTTGGTATTTGGATTTCTATCAGCAACTACAATCAAATTCACCGTAATTCGCGATGAATTGATTTCGGCACTACATGCGTGTGAACTGTGATTGACTTCTGGTTAAACGCGTATTCTGCAATATTACAAGCGTTAGGTATAAATGCTACAAATATTATTGACACGCAATTGGTCGAGCGGCGAGTCAGCGCGTTACACCGATAAAACGAATCATGTAATTGATAGAATTATTAGTGTCGCGTTGTGAGGTCTATAATGATGCCGGGACGTATCGCTGATACGAATACGTTAATCGCTTTATTACTCATTTCGTACTTAATGAGAGAGCCTTCGTAATGATTCGCGATAAATATAACAAAACGGGATCGATAAGAAATAGATATCGCGATTCTCTCTATTGTTCAACTTTTAAGAATTATGTCTATAATATCGTTCAGATCATTTTTTGTTTTATCGTTTTTATAATGAATAATGTTTTTAATATGCATTTTTTTTTTTGCATTTTCAGAGCAATTATAAAATAGAAAAAATCTCGGTATTATATTCCAATTCGATAAAATCTTTTTTCTCATTGTCACTTTGAAATTGTCATTTTCTTCTTCACATAGAAGTTTTGAGAATATTGCAGATTCTATAATAATTATTCCTAACACCTCTGCATTCAATATATCACAACGTTGGATATACGCTTGCACATAGTATACTTAATTAAACGCGAACGAGTCGAGCTAATGTTTAAAAGGGGTCGAATAAAGTGAAGCCGCTTTAATGAATACAGAGCTTTGCAATTAATGACGCGATTATGATCGCGGCGCGCGTCCGCGCTTTTGCGAATAACATAAACAACCCCGTAGCGCTCTCGACGAGCGCTTATGGTCGTGACTTCTTTCTCAATACGCGGCGATACACCCGGCGATCTCGTTATAAAGCGGAAAAACACATTAACGCGTCAAAACCCGCGTTTAACTCGCGCGGTGTCAAGCGCACACACCCGCGTCTCCCAACCCCCTCGAGTGACCGGCTCGAGGGGGGTGAGAAGGGGGTTGGTCGGGCGCATCGAAAATATCCGCGTAAAACGTTTCATTGGGATATATTAAAAAATAATAAATTACATTAAATTTCAATCTCTCTCTCTAGGTCGAGAGCCGGTATTAATGATGGCGCGCGGTGTCAAACGCACGCACCGCGCCCGGATGCATATGCATATATACGTGTGTGCATACGTGCGTGCATACCGAATAAGATATACACGTTACGAAAGTGTCGAAAATTTTATCCGCGTCATCCCTCGGCCCACCCATCGGCGCGCGAAACATATTGTGAAAAATATTGTATTTCGAGAACGTTACCGCTAAATTATGCGCGCATCACTCAAAGTGAACAATATTATTCGCGCCATCCTTCGAATGGAATTATTTCATATTTCATGTATCTTCGAAAAACATATTGCACGACGGTACCATTATTATACGAACAAATCAGTTATCGGTTCTGTTTATTATTTTTCCTGGAAGTCAAAATTAATCTTTTATAGAAAATTCAAACAACGTTATTATACAGTGAATAAAAAATTGGTGGAAATCATTTTAAAATGTTATTCGGCTAATTTTGATTTTTTTCCCGTGTGATCATTTCTGTATTAAAAGATGCGCGACGAATTATTTTTCAAACTGTCATCTCATGACAAATTTCCACGGAAATGTTCACTCTTTATACGTGTATTTATCTCATTATTTGATGCGCCAAATGTTTGATTCCGTTTCCTGATGAGTTTGTATTCAGACTTCGGAAGCAAAAAGTGCAAATAAAACGGATCTCTCGAGAGCAAGTCTTTAAATGAAGGTGGTTTTCATTTCTGAACGTTCATTCGGCGAGAACATCTGCGAATTATCGAACATCAGCCGAAAAGATGGTGGTGGTGAGTCCGGATGGTGTCAAGTGCACACCATCATCGCGGCGACGACGAATGAAAATTCGGAAAGCAGTTTACGTAGATCAATCTGCGTCCGAGGTCAACGATTCACTTAAGGTAGAACGCGTATAATAAAGTGGCTAATGGGGCGACGAGGCGGACGGCAACGAGGGTGAGAGACTTTCGGGGATGCTCGGGGTGTGTTTGACGTTGGCCTGTTCCTTAACATAGGAAAGTAACAGGGCTTCCTTGATTATACTATATGTATCGCGTGAAATACATCATCTCGTACAGTAATCCCTCTTTACAAAATTCACGAGATATATATTATACAATACATAAGTGCCATGAGCGTCCGCTGAATTTTTTCCAGAAGGGGGCATGATTAAAATTCTTTTTTTATTTCTTATTTCCTGTTATTTCTTAATTCTTTAAATTAACATTTTTTCTTATTTTTATTTTTTATATGAAGTATGTAAATAAATTCCAGTGTTTAAAAGCAGAGCAAATGCTTAATTTTTTTATTAATTCTAAGGGGGGACAAATGCACCCTCTTACACCCTTCTGCGGGACTTATGATAAATGTGTCAAAAATCTTGTATAATTACTACATTTAAGGAATAATATTATTGTAATTATAAATTAAGGATTCGATTTTCTATTAACAGGGTGTCTATTCATCAAACTTTCTAAAATTCCCTGAGAACTCTCTAATTTTTAAAATCACAAGTAAATGAAGAAAATTTGTAAATGCATATTTTTTATTTCTTTTATTGTATGTGCTTTCTAATGCTTTTTCTATCCATACGATTGTGCAAAGTTATCAAGAGTGCAGTTTTCCTAGCATTTAATATTTATTAATTATAAAATTAATCTGGACAATAATAAAGTATGATATATCATTATCTAAAGTATGATATATATTATCTAAACGCTAAAAATATATACGATAATGTAAGATAAAAATAATTTGTGTAAACTTCTTAAGAAATACTAATTTATTTAAATTATTTATTGAATAAATAAAGAGTACTAATTTAAATATTACCTATTCAAAAATTGAACAATTTTCTATGAAACATATATAAGAGATCTTGCTACTGAAAATAGATTGTCAATAAAAAATCACATAAAATTTTAATAAAAATTTAAATACTGCAAATGGATATGTTAGACATATGTTTCTCAAGTGCTGAATAAAAATAAGATATCAAAGGGGCAATTTTTTAAAAATTCTCTGAATGCCAATTAAATTTCACGAGAATGCTCTGATTTTTCAAGGTTTTAAAGGTAGAACAAAATAATTCCGTGGAGGATACCAAATTTTCAAGGTTTTTCCTGGGGATATATCCTGATTAAGCAGTCGACCTCTAAAACTTAAACTATTACTACTATATACTATTTGTTGGACGATGAAATAAAAGTATCAGAAGTGAATGTAATTGAAAAAAATTTGTTAACTGGATTGATTGTACATTAATAATCTGTAATATAAAATAATAATTTAAAAAGGCTCCCAAAATTATGAAATATCTTTTATCATATTTAAATCACAGGTTTCACTGCAAAGACTAATAGATTAATGTGTTCCTAGGTGAAGATTTGGTTCCAAAATCGACGCATGAAGTGGCGAAACAGCAAGGAGCGAGAGCTGCTGGCAACCGGCGGTTCGCGCGAACAGACGTTACCGAACAAGAATAATCCCAATCCGGATCTGAGCGACGCCGATGGGGATAGGCCGAGGATGGATCTGAGCGACGTGAGTCCGCTCACGAGTCCTCAAAGGCCCGAGGAACAAACGGAGAACGAAGAGGACGAAGAGATCAACGTCACGTGATAAAGCACACCGCTGTACCCAGCATTCTGAAGTAGCGATAGCTCATAATCATTTGTGAACCGAGATTACCGGCTGGACCAAAAGAAAAATTTTAAATAAAATGCAGATTCGGTAGGCATTTGACAAAATTAAAGTATCTATAAATTCAGAGTTTAAATTTTTCATTTTTACTATGTGTATATTATTGCAGTTTCAATACCGATTATATATTACCGAGATGAAAGCAGATACATCTCTTCTTAATCTCTTTTTGAATCAGTATTACAGCACGGATTTATTTTACGTCGATAATTATGCAAAATATTGATCAAGTTGAAGACAGTTAATTGTTAAATTTAATCGTACATGTTTTCAGCTGGCCAATTTTTACGACTATATTTGCAGATGATTGGATTATTGCAGAGTGTTTTAAATTCCTTGTACGAAAAGAATGCGACTTTACATTAATATATTTCGTCTCATTTAATTCTTAAATTTTCAGTGACGAATCTTCAATTATCTCTAATGGTCATTGTCTTCAACATTTTTTTTCATCTTATATTACTTGTGGTTTATTCTTCGATAGCAGCATGTGTTGTTGGTCCTGAGTAAAAGGATACGACGAATGATGTATTATATTGTAATTAGCGATGGATGTACCTTCAAGGAGTCTTCTATAAGCCATTGTATAAGGTTGTATTAGACGTAACGTTACGATTCCGGAAATATGTACCTAAGTCTCTATTCATAGACCGTGATCGCGCGGCCAAATCCAAATGTAATTACATTCATTGTGATTCAATATAATCTATGTAATATATTGAAATAAAACTGTCTATATGCTAAGTGATTTACACTTCTAATATCAATGTATAAATGAAATTCCAGGTCTAACTCATCGTTTCTTTCCATCCTTCCTTATCATCCTGATTCCGCAAATTTTAAAGGTAAATAATTTTCATTATGCTAGATTTTTGCAATTCTGAATAATTAATATATAGAAATTAAAGATATAAATTTGCTACATAAAAATTTATAATATATTTTTTAATTAATAAGATTTTCAATACATATTATTATTCTTTTGCTATATATTCGTTATATATGTATATAGTAAATATTGTGTATACATATTTATTCTATATACTTATGTATATTTAAGTGCATAAATCTTACAGCATATTAAATAAATGATAAAAAATTTAGTCTGTGTATAGTCACGTACATTCAACATTAAATGTGATAAATATAAATTTTTATTTTATGCTAATTATTTAATTCTGTGGTATATGTATAAACACCGAATGTTATATACGCAATGTATAGACATGTGCGCGATTCACATATATGCGCACACATATATGTATAACCAACGTAAAACGAAAATTTCTATTTATTACATTTATAACATTTTCGAGTGGATACATGACGTATGAATATAAAAGTAAAAGCTTTCATTTTTTTTGTATTGTAAGATTTATGCACTTAAATAAATATATATATATATATAAGTATATAGAGTAATATTTACAATATTTATTATATACATATAGTGAATATATAGCAACAAGACTAAATATGATAGCAAAAAGATGAAATATTAAAATTCTTATTAATTGAATAATATGTAGATTCTTATGTAAATTGTAATTTGCATTTTACGTTGGTGAATGCAACATTTATACACACATAACATATATATTAATCAAATATATAATAAAAATTTCTGATTAATCATCCAAATTTCACATTTAGAGTTAAATGTAGTGAATATGAACTACTATTGTCTTCTTATTTCTGATATTATAAGAATGTGTACAATTTCGTACAAATACAGTTCTATTTCATAGAAATTTCTTTCAATAAGTGAATAGCAGTCTGCATATAATTTTGAATTGTTTTAGTTATTTTGAGCTTGCGGTTTCGACCATTCTACACTCAGGATAAGATGATCGTAACCATAGCCATCCAAAGTAGCGATCGCTCGTGCGGCATCGGCCCTGTGTTTGAAATGTACGTATGCGAAGCCCTTGCAGAGATTAGATAGCTTCTCCTTGGCAAGGAACTGTTTCACCACAGAACCGAAAGGCTTCACAAGCTCATCCAAATCAGCATCCGTCGTGCTCTGCGATAAATTGGAAATACGGATGGCGGTTGTATCGTCACGCCTCTGCATTTGCATCGAGTCACCGCGTTTGTTGCCGCCATCGCGCATGCCGGGTGGCACGTACTTGCCACCCTGTGGTTTGAGCTCGGCCATTGCACCGGGTACCCCAGTATTAACGAGAGGTTTCTTGTCATCCGGTACTTTTCCTAAAATAAAATAAAGATTTTCAACAATCAGCTTTACAATAAAAAATTATATATTCAATTCTATGTAATAATAAATTTAATTTAATTTTAGCGTTTTTCAGCCTAAAACAAATATGACTCACCACCAGCGAGAACAGTATCTTTGTAGGGACACTTGGACGTCCAATGATCACCATTGCAATTACGACACTTGACAACACCTTTATCGCCCATGCTCTTCAATTTGTCCAGGGAATCTTCTTCTACCTTGTTTTCTTCCTCTTTGCTAGATATGAACTGCATAAAGACATCTTCACCGATGACAGTAGTAGCTGGGTTGGGTCCCGGCCTGTCGTCGACGGAATCACCAAACTTTGCCCAATTTTTGCGTGCTGCGATCGTTTTCGATACTATACGCCGTTCTATTTTGTAAGTACGCACGACTTTGACTTTTTTGTTGTCTTGATTGTATTTGTACTCGGTAAGGATTTTGAAACCATTTTCATAGACTTCTGATGGTGCAGGCAACGCTCCTCCTTCTTCCTCGACTTCATCAGCCCAGCTGGACTTTATCTCGGATTGTGCAACTGGCATCTCTGTAAGTTATATAATATTATACATTTAAGTGCATGTTTAAGTGTTATTCTTAAGGGCAAAATAAATGTGTGTGCAATATGTATAAACATCAAATTTTGAAATATTAAGATTCTGATTATTTTTCTCTATAAATATGTTGAACATTTTATTTAAATATAAATCTCAATTAATTGTTTGTCAAAATGTTTTTGTTTATTTAAACAACAGAATTAAAATAAGTGTTTAAATAAAAAAAACTTTAAATTTCAAACTTTTACCTATTAATAAAAAAATTAATATTTAAAGCTAATTGTGATTAAAATATTCATTGTAACACATTTATTTTAGAAAATCTTAATTTTAACTTTAGAAATGAAATCGTATTGATGTTTTACACATTGAATATTTCACATTCATAACACCTACATAAGTACTAATTATACTTAACCCGTTAAAGACCTGTCAGTCATCTTATTTTTATAATAAATGAAACACTATTAGAGCCAGAAAATGTACACAAATGCTGAAACAAATTAGATATAAAATTATACAGTACTATATTTGCAATATATTAAAAAAAATATTAATGTATTTCATCTGTCATATTTTTTTAATAGATAAGCTCTACTGAGCTAATTTAATACTAATTACTAACAAATGCAATAATTTTTTCCAGAATTGATAAAAATATTTCTTTTTTCAAAAAGGCTCTATCTCTCTTTATGAAATCTCTATAAAGTAAGGATATAATCTAACCTATAATATGATGCATATCAGCAATTTAAAAAATCCTAGAAATTACGATTTATATTCGATTTTAATCATTGTTATTAATAAAAATTAAAAAATTGTGTGAACGAAAGAGCCAAGAAAAAGGGAAAACATAAATTTTGTCGACACAGCTGACTACAGGTAGATTTGACACGAGAAACACAAAGATGAACAAAACATCACTTCGAGGAAAGAAATTTTGACACCGAACGCCTTACCGTAAAATCACGTTCGCAGCAAACAGGCTCAATACAGAATCACAATGAAATAAACGAAATAAAGCGTAAACTATCGATGACAATCGTATGTCTACACATCCATGTGGAATGATGCAGAAATCAAGATGGAAGAAGGCGATGCCTCCTCTCTCTTGCGAATCCTCGAACACTGCTGTCACAATAAAACACACCGGGATTTAAATACCCTAGAATTCCGATAACCAATAGGAGAATGATTATTTTATTAATTATTATTATTATTATTTATTAATAACTTATAATTTATTTGTAATTATTAATATTTATTTATTATTTATTTATAATTTTATTAATGTATTTGTTTAGTGACAATCGTATCACTAACCAAAAAATTTTAGGAAAGAAGTTCTGCTATTGGGTATCCATGAATGTCACCAGATTCAACATATGTTGGGACTCGAGATCTGGTAAGGTGGAAAAGTTGGCGACACTGCCAGCCGCCGCGAGATCGTAATGGCGACGTTTAGCGCGTTGTCGGGTCCGTCGTGAGTGAAAAAATAATGTTTCGTAAAACAATATTCGGTTTGCACACGAGGCGACGACCGAGCAAGTGAGCACGTAACATTTTGACGGGTAGTTTTGACAGGACATCACTAATCGAGCGCCCGCCAACATGGACCAGGCTCCTGCAGGTGAGCACGCTGTCGCGAGGTTCGCCGATTCCGGTCCCTGCGCGCTCTCCGTACACACACACACTCACACACACACACACACACATATATATACTACACACCATACGCACACCATAGATATACATATACGCACACTTTTTCGCGTCCTGTTCTCACGCGTTCGCCCTGAGTATATTAATCCTTTTTATTTGCATCTTATAATTTTATTTAAATTGTGGAGCAGAGGAATATAATGTATACATCTAGGTATATGTTTAGTATATGAATTCTCTTCTATTAGGTTACATGTAAGTTATACAAATTCTACATTCATTGAATTTTAAATGAGCATGTGCAGGAGTTAATAAAGAGATTTCTTATAATTTATACAATGGCCTTTGCCTGTATGCTATGGGAGTCCATGTAAGTGGACATAATCACAATTTATTCTTGTATTGAAATACATAAATATCTATTTTTGTTCACAGTAATTGTATACTACAGTTTTATGTATATTTATATATATATAAAACATATATATTCTACTATTTTATTTTGCTAATTTTAAGAATGGTTAATTAATTATTTTATTAATAGAAAGTGTGTGTTTAAGCATGAATGTATGATTTTCTGTAGGACCACAAAGTAACACAAAGTATAAAATAAATTCATTACATTAGTTGTGTTTAATAAATAATAGATTCTAATTCTTCATTAGATTTGGATTTCTAATTCTTGTTGTTTTTACTTATAACATCCAGACACAGAGTTACGGAACATCATAGACAAACTGGCACAGTTTGTCGCTCGCAATGGACCAGAGTTCGAGCAGATGACAAAAAACAAGCAGAAGGACAACCCGAAGTTTGGTTTCCTGTTTGGGGGGGAGCACTTCAACTACTATCAATACAAAGTGACTACAGAACAAGCCAGTAAGTGGGATATACCCCCTTAACAGCTACAGTGTGATTGAGAAGCATAAGAAAATGGTTATACTTAATACAACGAACAAAGGAATGACTTTAATAAATGATACAAGGTCTCTGATTTCATCATTGCAAACGTACAAAATGTATTCGTCGAAAACAGTCTTTCTTTCAAGATTTTGGGATTGCTATTTATTAAGCAGAATGCTTTTATGCTAAAAACATCTTGCATTCTTTGGCAATGGCAATTTTGCGAAGATATAGTTTTAAGATTCTCTTGCTGGAGTTTATCTAATACGGAGTACATTGTCGATGCATCGTTTCAATCTATGTGGAAAATACGATCCACTGTACAAAATAGTGTATACCCTATAATACCCTCGTACAAAATATAGAAAAAGAAATTAAAGAAAGGAAAAAAAAGAGTATAGTGCTCCCAAAAGACTTACCGCATTTTCTGATACTATTCTCGTGTAAATGCCCAAGAATTTTCTTATATGCATCGGTAGAAGATAAGACTCGGCAGAAAAAAAAATCGAGCTATCTGTATACACATTTTTCAAATATCGATTGAAAAGGACTCAAGCATCTCACAATAATCTACCGTCATTCGTTTACAGTTTTAAAGCAAAAAGGAATAAATCCAATGCAAAATGCAGACCCACGTTTAAACGTTTCGCAGCAGCAGCAAACAGCCGCAAACGCCGTCTCGCAGCCACTGAATAACGTCAATCTTGCGTCCGGTCTGAGTACACAAAACAATGGCATAAACCCGGTGGTCGGGATCGGAAGTCAGGGCGGTCCCGTTTTGCCTGGACAGATCGGAGGGCCGGGAAATGCAGGGCCGCCAATCGGACCGGTTTCTGGCGCCATGGGAGGTGTGAATCCGCCGATCGCCGGAGTCGCGCAAGCAGTTAACATCGCGGGTCCACCCGCGTGGCTGCAGAATGAGTTGGCGAATCTACAATCGCAGCAGACGACGTTGCAGGAACAAGTTAGACAATCAGAACAGAATTTGGCTGCGCAGCACGCTGCATTGATGGCGCAGCAGCAGGGAAGAGTAGAGGACGCAGTGAGGCAGGCACAGGAACAGGCTCTGCAAAATAGTGCGCAAAATACGAACACAGATCTGGCTGCGTTTGACACGGTGCTACAACCGATCATCGATAGTTGCACGAAGGATAGCATAAGTGCAGGAAAAGCCTGGATACTTCAAAATTCACTTACTCCACAAAGCAATCAAGTTGTCGCAGATCATTTGTTGAAAAAGTATGTATAGGCATATACGTAATTTGTATATAATATATATATGATTTTTATTTATATTTAAATATTTTTTTCAGAGTAATTCAAGGGACGACTTTTAGTCATAAACTACATATTATTTACCTAGTAAATGACGTCTTACATCATTGGTTAGTATAAATATATGTGTATCATATATATGATATATCCCCACAAACCAATTAATCAATTGTCATTATTGTTTACAAATGTATTATTTTAATTCCCATATGTCTATAGTTACGATAAATTTCCCCAAAATTTCTATAGTTTCTTCAAGTGGCTTGAAAATTTTAATTGCTTTCAATTCCTAAAATTTTCCAATTATTTCAATTTATTTGTATTAATTTATAGTTTCAATTTTATAATATTAAGTGATAATATATCATAAATTAAAATAACACATCGTCACATACACAAGATATTTAATTGGAAACTTCTTCAGTGCAAGAAAAAAGTCTATGGATTTGCGAAAAGCGATGGAAAGTGTTGTTGTTCCCATGTTCTGTAACACTTCGCTAGCAGCATCCGAGGAACAACTTAATAAACTGAATAAACTGTTGAGTTTGTGGGAGTCAAAGAATAATTATTTCGACGAAGGGATTATAGATAAGTTGAAAAAACCGAGCGCGTCTTGGTCGGAGTACCAGGCTAATTTGGTAGCGCAACATGCCACTGCGATTACTCCAATTACAGCGTCGACGAAACAGACGTTCGATAATTATCAGGCGCAGCATCAAGCGTTTGTCACTCACGCACTGAGACAAATTCAGAATATCGAGCAACAAAAGATGGCAATAGATCAGCAACTGAAAGCACCGCCGCCGCCGCCGCCACCTCTGGTATAGCACCCTTTTCGTATTTCTACTAAAATATTTTTTTTCGTATATTTATCGAAATCTCATCTGTTTAGAATCAGCAGAACTTGTCGATACCACCTAGTCATTCTGGTCCTCCCGGTACGATGGCCACAGACGTGAATTTCAGTCAACCACCACCAGGTTGGGGCGTTCCGCCATCGAACGAACCGCCGCCATTCAGCAACGTGCCCCTACCGGATTTTTCGAAGCCACCACCAGGTTTTGGACCGCCACCTGTTATTCACGAACCCTCTGTAGAGGATTTGATGCCTAGTATGCCTTATTTCGAGCTTCCAGCTGGTTTGATGGTACCTCTGATAAAACTAGAAGATGGTGAATATAAACCATTGGATCCGGATGCGATAAGACTTCCACCACCGGCTCCGCCGAATGATCGTTTAGTTGCAGCTGTGGAAGCGTTTTACGCGCCTCCAAATCATGATTCCCCTAGAGATAGGTAAAGATATATATATATATATATATATATATATATATCTTATATATTTTATATATCTTATATATTTTATATATCTTATATATTTTATACATATATTTAAATACATATGTATAATGATATATATATATATATATATATATATATATATATATATATATATATATATATCATTATACATATGTATTTAAATATAGTTTGAAAAGGTAAATGTAACCGAGAAAAAGACATATATATTGTATATATATAAAATATAATTTGTTATATATTTTTATTTTCTATAAATGAAGTTTCTGATTATATTTGCAGTGACGGATGGGAGAAATTAGGTTTATACGAATATTACAAAGCGAAAAATGCTGCTCGCAAGCGCAAGGAAGAGGATATTGTCGCCGGGATTAGACAGAAATCCAAATCTCCTTCGCCAATTTTACGGCCGAGATCCAAGAGCCCTAGTCCGCCAAAGAAACGCTACAGGAGTAAGTCGCGCAGTAGATCGCGTTCGCGATCACGAGGCAGAAGTAGATCGAGATCGCCTGCGGCTAATCACAGGCGCAACAGTCGTAACAGCAATCACATTAATAGAAGTCGAAGGAGGAGGAACAGTAATAAAGATCGTAGCCCCGAAAGAAGAATGGATCGACAGGATAGAAGTCCAACTCCTCCTAGTTTTCTGTGAGTATAACATGTGATGATTTCCTTATATTTTATTTATCTTTTATCACAGCAATGTAAATGAGATAAGGAATGTTTTCTTTGTATATCTATCTTTTATCTGTCCTTTTATACGATTCTTGTTATTAAATGTAAATTAATTGTATATTAATTGTACATAAAATTTCGTTCAGTGGTTCCACCTATAGCAAAGCTCCGCAAGAGATCAGTCTTGACGAAAGCAATAAAGGACATCAATTGCTCAAGAAGATGGGTTGGGGTGGTGCGGGTCTTGGTGCTAATGAGCAGGGTATTGAGGCACCTATTTCCGGGGGCGAAATTCGCGATAAAAACGATCAATATAAAGGAGTCGGTATCAATTTGAATGATCCATACGAAACCTTCCGGAAAAACAAAGGCCAGGCATTTATTACCAGAATGAAAGCCAGGGCAGAGGAACGAGCCGAGGAAAGAGGGGACCGTGATTGAGCGTGATTCGATGAAATGCGGAGTTTGAACGTTCGCGGTGCTCTGGGAATGAAAATATATCTTGAGAGATTTAAAGACAAATCCTATGATGAAAGTTCATTCACAGTTCCAGAAGCATTTACGCGAATCGTCTATGAGAATTGACTTCGAAGATCGATATAAAATCGATTTTCTCTATTCTGTGATTTTCCTCTTAATTCTCATTCTTATTCCAGTGAAAAATGTCACGCGCTCTATTTCTCGTTTGTTTTCTCGCTCTAATCTGGTTCTGTAATTAGTGAGAAAATAATGAAAAAGAATATGAGAATTATCTTAGTTTATAGGAAAACAACTGAATAGCGGAAAACCTAGAAAAGAGGAAATCGATCGCACTTTTTTTGACATCGGAGCAGTTGTTTTTTTATTAAGCCTGAATCCCCATTGCGCTTGTCATTGATTTTTGAATAATCAATAGATGGACGCTGATTGTTTTACGCTGAAACCACATTGGTTGTTAGTTTTATTAGCAGCTATACAATTTGAATGCCACCTAGGCAATACTTATGAATTTTACATGAGGCAAAATTGTACATTTTTGATGTAGAATTACAGATATAATTAGAGTTTATTTCAAATTAATGTCATCCGTACATAATGAATTAAATATTGAGTCTGTTATAAGTATAAAGATATTTGGTACAAAAGATTATGTGAAGATTCAAAGGATTCAAGCGCGCAACGTCAACGTCTGTCGGCTAAATCTTGGATCCAGGTTGACAATTTAACCACGTTTCGCGCGTAACAATTTAATTTCGTTCCATTTTTACATATTGCAGGATGCTACGTAACTTAAACGTAAAATGCAAGTTGTTGCGTGCCGTCGTCGCATGGACTTGAGAAACATGTGAGATAAGAATACTTGTATTTAATAAGTTAACAAATGATTATATTGGATACACGACGATAGCTCAAAAATAAATGCTGTACATTTATTACGAAAGCGAATGCGAACATTCGCCATCGTTACTCCTCCACACTCGTCTTCTTTGTACTAAATATATTCTTATCAAGAATCTAAACGGTTATCAAAATTTCATAAAAACTTCTCTACACTCGTTATTTTTAACGATAAACCCTACATGCATAATATGAAATAATTTTACATTCAAGATATATCGTCGTATATTTTATTTTCAACTTGTTTCTCTTTCTATAATCTCTTATTTTATATAAGTTGTTTTCTTACATTTTATATAAATTGTCTTTTTTTTTTTTTTACTTTTATATATTATGTTAAGCCGATTTGTTAAAAATCTGCAAACATAATTGCATAATTTCTTCTTATCCTTGTAAAATTAGTGTTATGACAATTAATCTTTATGTGTAAAATTCATATCTAAATTATGATCTAATTTATATAATGCAACAGCAAGCAAAAATTTTATTAATCATTGCATGTCATTTGAATGAAACAGTGAAATCGATCTTTTCGATCTTACTTAGATTATTGCGCTATGTATTGACAAATTAATTAATATTCTTTTATTTCAATCTTACACGTGCGCGCGATAATGAGATATTTTAATTAAAATACAAATTTAGGTAAGAAATAAGTTAATGAGAGCTAGATGCAAAAAGCTTGTTTTAAAGATCTTTAATTCAAAAGTTTGTTGCGCTTAATTTCTGCGCCTGGCTCTTATATTGGCTCATCTATGAATTTGTATTTATATATATCAGAACTTTTTTATTTTATGCATACATATATTATATTTTAATTATGTATTATTTAATAAGGCGCGAGAGACAAGAAACTGTTCTATACTCGAAGCGAGAAAGTCACGTGGCGGAATAGAATTGTTCTTCGATCCCGGTTGCCACACAGATCTCTCCTTATCGTGCGTCACGTGCGTGCATGTGAATTGAAAGAATGAAGGAAAAAACGGAGAGGAGCTTCATTTAACTGGCTACGAACTGATCCGGGTGCAATCGCTCGCCTTCTTGAACTCCCCAGCGACAGCTGATATCGAAACCGACTAAAACCGACGACGAACCGGTTCTTCGTGACGATAGCGATGGAACGGCCGAGACGCAAACAAAGCCGGACGATGATCGGACCATTCTTGCATATCCAGCATCTCTGTTCACAATTCACGCGCGATTCTTTTCGTCGTAGCGCGTGATTTCTCACCAGACACGATCGATCGCGCAAAAACTGCGTAGAATGTTAACCCGTGCTCTGACCTGTTATTTACGCTTACCCGGAACGTCTCGCAATTATTCCCGCGAGCAAAAACGTATCTTTCACGAAAGTAAATGAGCGAAAGTGATATCGCACTTTCGCGAGCTTACGTAGAGATTAGAGTATCACGAGAAAATGAAGTTTATGTCGGAAGATTAGTCGCTTTACACAAAAATACATTCTAATTATCGTAGCTCGAGATTGGTTTTCTTGTACAGTAGATTAATGGAAAGCAATATCTGTATTTTTTACTTTTTAATGTTAAACGTTTTCGAAACTAGAACTTAGCAAGAATTTGCAAAAAATGAGATTACTTAGAAAGATTAATTGAGAAATGAGATTTCATTTGTTAAATATTTTTAATATTTATATAAATTTATATATAATATAAATTTATAAAATATATGATTTTTAATATGTATTTATAAAATATATATATATATATATATATATATATATATATAATATATTATAAATGTTTAACAAACAAATAATATATATAATATTAATTAATATTATTTGTTTTTGTTAATTATTTATTATATATAATTCTATTATCAATTCTATAATCTGAAAGTTAATTAATCTTTTTAATTGATGTTCGAGGTATTTTATTTAACGAAAACTGATTTGCACGTGTCATCGTGGAATATATTAACGATGTCTTTCACATGTTTTATGTCAACGTACTCGATGATACGTGCGTGTGTTATACTGTGTATACATATATGTATGTAAATGCATGTTGGCTGATTTGCAACATCATTGATATGATTGAATGAATCGAAGGGGATAAGGGGGAGAAGATGCGGTCATATTTCGCGAGACGAATCAAGCTCATGAGATTCCGAAATTCCAAAGAAATTCCACGCTTTTGCCACATCCGATGCGAATCGTTATCAGCTGATCAGTCGCTACTTGGTTTACATTCGTGAACGGAACGTGCACGCATATATATGTATATATACGTGCGTGGACACTCGTGCGATTCGTCGAAGCACGTTCGGTGTAAACGTGACGCCGGGCACGAACAAAAATACGCGGGTCCGATAAAAAGATAAGCCGATTACGTCGACGGTTTGGCGAGCGGATGCACTGATGTAAACATTATATTCTTGGAACGCGCTGCAGCTTCGCGTACAATCAAGCTTGCGTCGTTCATAGAAAAGAACGGGAAAAATCATAGTGTCGCTAAAAAGCACCAAGACGCACCCCTAACAGCACACATATCCCGAAGACGTTCAGAGAACATTCTGAGGATGTTCGAATGTCCTCTGGATATCTCTGGATATCCTCAGAATGTCTTTCGGATATGGTGTGCTATTAGGGATGTATATATATATATATATATATATATATATATATATATATATATATATATATACACATACTGCGATGATAAAAGCTATCAGAGCTTGATGGCGCAATATATATCTTTTGAAAGGGCAGCGTTTTTTCTCCGCCATTTCTTTTTTTCCCTCTTTTCCCTCGGATGTTAGAAAACATTATTATATATGTACACTTGTTATATCTTGTTTCAGATTGTTAATATGATACGATAATAGTTACGACAAATAATGGTTTGTAAAAAAAAACTTACAGAAAGGAGAAGAGAGAAAAAAAGAAGAGTCGAGAGTGTCTAGGATCGCATGATAGCTCTTCAAGATAGATCAGTACACGCGACGCAAATTGACATTTCTAAAAGGGGTTCGAACTGCCCCCTCTGACCTTTCGGCGTGCATCATTAATGAAGTAAATATCTAATTTTATGGTGTACGTTAATACGCGATACAACAGCGGTGGTACCGTTTATCGTTGACTATTTATGGCACTGCGCAAGAATGCAATTTCTCACGGAAAGACCTAATCTTTGCGACCTCCAAAGCGAACGTAATGTGACAATGTTATATAAACAATAGTCTTGTATGAAGTTGACACGCCCAATAATTTTTTTGTTTAATCAATATATAAAAGTCTAATTCTTTTAATGGAGATATAAAAAGCTTTCTTGGAGATAGGAGCTATTTTTTTAAAGATTAAAATTTAAATTTTGCCGAATGAAGATTATTACTTATTTAATGATTAAATGTTTATTTAATTAATGGAAATTTTGCAATATCAGAGGGAATTGAACGACAGTACAACAACATAAAATGAGGTATGATTTTGAATAGTCTTTTTAATGTAATATTAGATGCTAATTGTGTGTGCTTTTGTGTGTTTTCCAGATTTGTTAAATAAATAATATCGGCAAATATCACCTACTCGCAATGAGCCTACTTTCGAAAACTAAATCGCATTCTGCTACCAGTGACCTCGTATATAACTGTCACGTAAAAACCGGATCTCTCGTACTCGAAACGCGTATTTAGGACGGAAGTGTAAGTCTGGCGACAATTTTAAGTGGTCACGGCTCTTGCTCCCTTTTATGGACTATGTCGTAAGCATGCGATGATCTACAACTTGGTATGAATGCTCTACTTTACTTATCCTTTATTTCTTAATATTTAAATTTTAGCGAAACGTTATAAGTTTTCGTAAATTTCATTCAGAAAAAAAGAATAATTTCGAATTTATATGAATCAAAGTGTAAGAATTTCATTTTTTTTAAATATAATTTTATATAATAAAATTAAAAGATTATCATCTCTTTGCGAAATTTTAATTAAAAGTAAAATTAGAATATTACAAATTTAATCGAAGATATGTACAATTTTTGTTTGTTACATTTCTCAAAAGATATTTTAATCGTGAAGAGATTAAGCATGTATCATTTATCTTCATCCTGTTATTTAATAATTACATATATGCGTTGCTCCGTTTTGTACCGCATATTTTGCGCTTAATTATATCAGAGTAACGTGGTTATTATCGTCGTTAATTGCGATAATCGTTGTTAATTGTGCGACCTGGATGCTTTTCAAGACACGCCCGTTGCATCGCGAAAATTTTCCTGGGAAGAATTCGAATTGTGCGTTCGTTCGCATTAAGATTTAATTTCTTCTTGGAAAAGAGAGGCTGATGTGCCAGAGAAAATTTTACAATTATTGTCTTCACATTTAAAAAAACGTAGTAATATAAATGCCAAGATATAACTGAAGTTCATTCTTTTATTATTATTTTACTTCTTTCAAATCTTGGCGAGCATATTTCTTTTGAAATTTCCTACATTCTTCAGAAATATGGAAATTATATATATATATATATATATATATAGAAAGGAGGAATTTGCGATCGCGTGGGGAAGGAAATTGAGGAGAGGAGTGTCAGAGAGAGGTGCGAGGCAGGAGACGAGAAAAGGAGGGAAAGGCCGACGAGGAAGGTGAGTCGGGGAGAATGTTTAACCGCGTTACATTCCACGTGATCGGGAGAAGGGCACGCCTCGGCCGTGCGGAGTCACGCGCGCGACCACGCGTTTGCCCTTCCTGACACGTGCACGCAATGTGCGGCGGCCGCGACTCTATATTCCGCACGACGCGACGCGACGCGACGCAACGGCGACATCGTCACCGGTGCGGTTTATTGCGCAAATTGCGGCACGCTGCGAAACCGCGCCGCGCCACGCCGCTTGCATAATACGGGAAAGTAGGTGGAAAATAGTCCGGCCTCGTCGTCTGTTTTCCATCCATGCGCTTGCTTGCACGCGCGTGCAACGAGACCGCGGTCGCGAGGAAACGCTAAATATCTTAAATCGATCGATCGAGCCCGAGGTGCGACTCGAATTATTTTTTAGTCAGCTTTTCCGATTTATTCTCTACTTTTTCTTAAATGACAAAGGAGATTAATTATTAATATATGTATATATATATATATATATATATATATATATATATATATATATATATATAATACAATCTCGTCAATTAAATTCTTGAAGGGAGAGAAAAATATCCTTTGGATATTTCATAGACACTTTCCTTTGAACATTAAAATTTTTAACAAATTTATTTATTTATGGGCAACTTTAACGTCATTACTTTTCCCAGGCATTACGTGACTAAAAGAGATCTATTTAAATCATGCGAGTGAAACTCTCCCGGACCGCGCGTAATAAATATTTCTTCCGCCAGCTTCTCTCTCACATTTTTTCCGCTTTCTGTCACCGCGTCGGAATACAATGCAGGTGTCTAACGAGGACACCGATACGCAATGAGCGTAATGATAGCGTTTCGTACCTGTCGCATTGAGCGTGCGCACGCGAACAAAGCGAACGAGCGTCTGGAATCGTGCCTTGTTCTACCAATGAGATCGACACAAATTCCGATGCCGGATGAAGGGAGAGGACGACGGAGGGAAGCATATCCGTTCGCGGCTGCTGCATTTATCCACGAACAGCACACTTTTGCCCTCGAATAAATTTATCCCTCCGAGATATGTAGCTTATAAAGTAATAGCGTGCATAGAGAGAATTTTATCTGAAAAATTTTACACTGCAAATTGTGGTAATCGTGGCACAGTATTGGAAGAATTTTATAGGAGTTTCTCTGATTGAATATTTACCCCAATAAAAATATTAATATCTATCACAATAAGATATAAAATATGTTGGATTAATATTTTTTTATCATGGTGTAAATTTTAATCAAAGAAATTCTTATATAAAATTCTTCCAATACCATATATTGTTCCACGATTTTCAGGGTAAATTCTAAAAGAAAATTCTCTCCGTGTATAAACTATACGCGTATATGAATTGTGACATCTTTTTTTATCGTCATTATTAGAGATACTCTATGCATGATTATTTTTTATTAATGAAAAAATTTAATTGGATACATACACAGTTCGAAAAAATATTTATAGAGTTTAAGGTTTCACAAATATATATATGATCATATCAAGTCACTTGGATAGAATTTTCATATTTCATACATATCAGGTTCCACACGATTGAATAACTCACCTGCAGCAGCGAGATTAAAATTGGATGGAAATTAAAAGTAAGTCGATGAAAAGAAGGATCGCGCGTGCGACCGCGATAGTTGTAAATAGCACGTGCGGCTTTTTCGAAAGCTGCTGCGTGAGATCGTGATGAAGCACACACAATTGAACTAGAAAGCGTCGGTATTTCACCGGGATTATGTAAATCCTTCGTATCATTCTCGTTGGAGGATGGTCATTTTAAAGGTGATGCGATGGATAATCGTGCGCGAAAGAATCGCGTTATATCACTCGTTATGTCACTCATTTTCTCGTATAAATAGTTTGATTTTTCCTCCTGAAAGATCTGACGAACTGAATACATATCTAATATAATATATATTTAATAATACATTTTTATCGCTCTGCAATATTTTAATTTTTATTAACTACTTTTTTAGAAAGTCAGTGAAAAAGTATCGCGTTGCAAGTAAAAAAAATAGGAAAAATATACATATTTTCTTTGTTAGATGATTTTTACGTGATATTTAAAATTAAATTATTAGCATAAATAAATATAATGTATATATATGCGTGTCCGCTCTAGATAAGTACGTGATGCAATCGGATGCAACGCTCCTGTCGAGACGTGCAACGTTTTCTTTCGCGGCAATTCTGCGAATTCATTCCTTTCCTTCTTAGCACGTCTAAAAATAGTCTCGCGAGAATTAGCATATCCGCTGAATTAATTATGCGATCGTGTGCTCTCTCCCTCACACACGATCGCCGAATCAGCAGCGAATTTGAGAACCGACGACGGATTTAGCTCGGGAATTTGATATAAATGGAAAGAGGTAATCTCACACACACACACACACACAAACACACACACACACACAGTCGTGACAAAGTAAATGGATAGATAGAAACGAATTTGACGTATGCGGGCGAAGTACGAGCGTAATAATGCAAGCGCGAAAATAGCCGCACTTTAATATCTTATGCACGCAAAGAAAATAAACACGATTCGCGACAACTCCTATTATTATTTTTAATTCTGGTTTCATTATTAGCACGTCCACTTTTGATTTATGCGCTGACAAATAGACGACCTTTCCGGTACGGTAGGTCTATATTGTCTGTATAAACGCTATCTCTTCGAGAAAAGATACATATATGCAATTGCCTATAAATATCATCTGAATATTATATATACATAATCAATTCGTGATATTTCTTGTAAAAGATTTTTATTTATTTTTGCGATAATTTATAAAATTAAATTAATATAGACAATTGTCTATAGACATTTAAACTTCTTTACAATTGTTTATTGCCACGTAAAATGAGAATTTTTCGTCTGAACGCGACGATCGTCTAAACCAAAGTTATATCCTCGTTGGATTTAATTCTCTGCAGTTGAGGATCTGCAGTTCCGGATCCTACTTACAAGACGAGCCAATTTAAATTCCTTGGACAGGATTTTCTCCTACGACCGGAATAAAATTATGTGCTATTTAAACGTTGTCGTCTCGGGCTACGTGACTTTTTAACTTAAAAACAAATAGGAATGCACGGCAATAAATATCAACGTGCCTTTAAATCGCAATAGTCCCTGGCGATTCTTTCGACAGGCCATTAAAAAATGATACTTGAATCGGTAACAATATTTAAATTATAATTAAGCCAATATATTCTGGAACAATATTTTATTAAAAACATTTTTAGTCTTACGTATAGCAAGATTTTTAATTATAATAAAAAAATTACTATTGCTTTAAACTTTTTATTTTCGTTCGCAATGGAATACATGCAGAGACAGATAACTATACATTATCTATTGAACATATTAGGGAGACATTATGCCTTCGTCAATTATCGCACCTTGTAAAACCGTCCGTCCGTTCGTTTGTCCTTGGTAAATTAGAACATTCGTTCGCGCTCGGCACGTGTATAATTATAGAGTTCGCTCGTCAACGACGACCACGACGATCTCTTCTCGTTCTGGTATCTCGATTCCCTTGTAAGGAGATACTCCAGTCGTTATAAATTTCTCTCCTCTTTCCGTGATGAGATGCATCTTTCTTTCGCTTCGCCGTCATACTTGAACCTGAACTAAAATCTCACCCAGAAAGCAATCGAGTTTCCTCACCACCTCCGTCACCAGCTCCGGGACGTAGGCGACGCCGACCCTTTTTTCACTTCAATTGAATTTCTCACGCCAGAAATAGTCGGCCGCGTGGGTGTGACATGCACGTGCTGCGCGCAAACTTAGAGCGTATCGTCATATTTATATCCGAGCGGATCAATCGTTCTTTCAGAGAAACGTGTCGTGTTACGTTATAAGATGCCTGCAGACGTCATGCTTCCTGAAAAATAGCGGAAACTGAGAAGGATTCGTTTCTTTCATCTCTTAAACGTTAGCGATGCGATTTTCTTCAGCGCGATCTGTCAAAAATCTTACTCGAAGATCTGTCAAAATTAATATTACATTAAAATTAAATATTAAACACAAGTATTTTAAGAACGCGGAATATATGTATATATAAAATTAAAATAACACAAAACAAGGTGTATAAAAATGTAAATATATATAAACGTTACGTTACAAGATGCCTGCAGACGTCATGCTTCCTGAAAAACAGCGGAGGCTGAGGATTCGTTTCTCTCTACTCTCAAACATTAGCGATGCGATTTATTCTTCAGTGGCGATCTGTCAAAAATTTTACTCCAAGGTCGAGATCTGTCAAAATTAATATTATAGTAAACAAGTATTAAGAATGAGGAATATATAAAACGAAAATAACGCAAGGTCTATAAAAATGTAAATATAAAAATATATAAAAAAAAAATATGCAGACAAACAACTTGTTAGTCGCTTAAGGATTATCAGCGTTAATCAAAATTTACATACGAGCAAAACAAACTTATTTAGGGGCAGTCCACACGCCATGCGATAATATAAGATATATAAATTATTTATTTTTATGTAAAATATTTTAAAGATTTTATCTCATTTCTAGGTGTATTGGAATCATCCTAAAGTGCGGTCTTGGCATTGAAAGTCAAAAGAAAAGTGCCTGTCTCGAACCATACAATAGAAAAACGCGATCCTAAAACTCTTCGGTCGAGGGAAGTGGAAGGAAAAAATAGGAGAGCGACGTTTTAATTCGGAGCATAATCGGCTTGCGCGCGATTAAAGCGGTAAGTACAATACATATATACAATGCATACGCGGCGTTCGAAAGGAGTAGCCGCGCATAGTTTGCGACGAGAAAGGGAACCGACGACCGGCGGCAAAGTCGAGAAAGAGAGGAGAAGGGATGCAGCGGCGAGCGCGTGACGGGACACGTGACCGAGAGCACACGGTGCTCGCGTGACCGGCCTCGTGACGTCACGCGCACGTGTCGCATAGCGTGGCGATTGCCGCGGGGGACATCCCACTCCGAACCGAGTACGGGGCTCACCTTCCTTACGTCTCTTTGCCTTCCACCGATGTGCCTTGTACCTTGATACAGTAGCGTCTCAACTTCCCTACTTCGCCCGCTCGACGATCGCAAGACTTTCACCTGGAAAGCTGATATTTTTCTTTCCTTTTCGTTCCTTTTTTCCTCTCTTTTTTTTGCTGGAGTTGCACCTTACATCGCATTTGCATCATCGGTTAGTGTTACGTTGCGACGACGCTCGCTACTTTAAGGCTCGACCGGGCACGACTTGAAAGCTACTTTAGACACTACTTGAAACTGGCATAACGTGTATTCGTTATTTATGCCTGTCGCGGTGTGTAATTTCCTTTCTACGAACTTATTTCAATATCCTTTGGACTAGTTGCCGATCGCGTTCTGTTGATTTAAAAAATTACATTCTTTCGTATTTTAATTATATGAATCTGTTAACTATTTGTTTGTATTTTTCGATCACTTTATATATATTTTGATTGAATTTTTATTTAATTTTTTAGAAAGAATACATATTAAAATTGTATTTTTTTTAAATATTAGACATAATCTCTGATATACATATATGATAGCAATTAATCTTTGTTCTGGTGACTAAAATTCGTGATCTAAGATATACCAATCGACATTGAAAATCGATTTTCAATATTAGCTATATCAGAAAAAAGAACAAGTTGCAATGTTTGTTGTATACGACACAATATCATGGAACGTAAGACAATTTTAAACGCGGTATTAAAATTATATCACATATTTGATGTGCAATAATTTATTCGTGAAGAAAGATTTTTGATTCGTTAAATTTTTGGTAATTGCAACTAAAGAATATTAAATGAGAATTCGTGTCAATATCTCATCTGTACAATAATCTAAAATAATTTATAGATAATATACGGACAACTTTGCGGGCTTATTAAAAAATAACAAACGAGATTACGATCTAATAAATATGTAAATATTCACGTAAATGTGTGTTGTAATAATATGTCTCTTTTTATTTATTAATTTTATTTATTTATGTGATAAAAATATTTGTATAGATGTGCGATCTAGGTAGAAAATCATTCATCTTTTAATAGAAATGCACCTAGCGTGTTCTCCGTAGATGTACTTGAAAGATAAATTCAATGCAATTTTTCGCATTTCGCGCGTGTGCTTAATAGCGAACGCGATACTATGCTGAGTAATAATAATACTATATATATATATTAGCGAACGCGATACTACGATGAGTAATTCCTAGATACACATACTCCGGCATTATAAACATTGAGATCAGCATTGAGAATGTATTCAGAGAAGGAAAAAAACATTCTACAAAATCAATTCAACCCGAGAAAAAAAAACATTCGATTCTACTTTAATACAAAACTTTAATAAAAATGTAATTCTTCTTTCAACTTTGATCAATAATTCATAGAAATATCGCTAACAATTATGTATCTTGTATCATTATTATTTATATACTTGGATTTATGTGTGAATCATTCTAAATCATTTCTTAGATTAGACAAACACATCATAATATTAAAGCGTTTTTATCTTTGCGATAAGTTATGCTCTTCTTCCGGTGTTCTCCACTTATTTTTATACGATTCATCAATCAAAAATGATTAATTATTAGCGAGTAATCTTTTGCAGTCGCGCCGAATAAATTCGTCTTATCGTAAAATTTTTTTGCAATTTTGCGAAGTATGAAAAATTAATTTCAATGCTAATGAACTGTGCAACATTTTTTCTGCTGAAATATGTATATATATACATATATCTTTTTCTCTCAACGAGAGTCTATATGCATCGTGAGAACGATGCGACGTAGCATTTCTCAAGCCGTGTTTGTTTCCGTTTTGGCGGTTGTGTATGCGCGTGCATCACTAAAACTGTTTTCAGATGCCTTGTCATATCGTTCCGCGTACGTTTATCAACGCGTGATGTGTCAAGAACGGTCTTATCGCGGCCCCACGAATGCGCCGTCATCGCGAATTCATGCCGACGCACGTTCTAATCTTGTGATCCAGGTTTGTGGTTCGTAAATTTTTCCGCTCTAGAATTTTTAGGTAGAATATTCGTTCCATTTATATATATATATATAAAAGTCAATCCCCCTATTATTAACTTCGCTTTAAAAAATTCGCCAGTTCACTTTCCTAAAAATAAAGTTTGGTGAAAAAAAACTGGGAAAAAATTTAAAATAAGTTAATTAACTCCAACTTTGCAGAAAAGCTTTACGCCAATATTAATCCCCTGTGTCATTAAAATTCGATGCTTTCCCATTATTGATTGCTATTTGCGAGATATACTCTTTTTCTTATATATATTTAGAAAAAGATCGATATGTGGGCAAATAATAATTCCCTCGATTCAAGACGAAAAATGCAGAATGCTTCACGATAATGCGAATAATGAGAATATTATATATTATATATTATATACATATTCTCATTATTATTCGCATTATCGCGAAATATTTTGTATATTTTATTTTGTTTTGTGTATCTTAAATATTTTGTATATAATACATATGACGAACTCGGACTTCTTTCTTTTCTTTAGGACTTCTTTCCTGTTTGACATACAATATAATTTTATTATTATACATTATAATTATTATTATTTCATATATACAGAGAGTTTTCTTTTAGAATTTACCCTGAAAATCATGGTAACCGTGGGACAATATGATATATTAGGTAAGAATTTTATAAGAATTTCTCTGATCGAATATTTTTAATCTTAATTGTGGTAGATATTAATATTAATATTTTTTATTGCGGAGTAAATATTAATCAGAGAAACTCTTATAAAATCCTTCCAATACCATATTGTCCCACGATTATCATGATTTTCAAGATAAATTCTAAGAGAAAATTGTGTCTGTGTGTAATTATAATTATTATGCAAAATTAATACCTAATCAAAACATCACATACCAATGCTCAAGCTCGTATGACAATAAAAACAATGATAAATTATTAAATTAAGGCCATGTGTAACGAGCAATACGATATTATTTTATTATTGAGAAGAAAATTCTTAATTTGAAATAATAATTATACAAACGTTTCGAGCTCTACTTGCTCCTCTTCAGTGCGCAAAAAAATAGTGATAATAAATAACGATAATAAATAAATACATAAAATTCTAATAAAAAATCCGCAATACATAGTCAATATAAGTTATATAGTTGAGTCATAGTTAAAACGCAAAATATATTTACAATGAATTGAGACCATTAAAATAGTTCAACAAAGTAAGAACCCAATTAGAAGCAGAATGATTCGTCCGGTTATTCATAAAATATATTAGAATTATTAATAAAAACTTGGAGTGACACTTATACATTACTCCAAATGAACCACTTATCGTTATTTGACGAAAGTCCCTCGATCTGGCAATGATTATGTTCATCCTCTCCAAATTATTTGATATTTGTTAACTGAATTTAAAGAATTTATTCAATTGTAAAATAGGATTCCACTAATGTGTATGTGAAAAAGATTAAAAATTATAAATTAAACTAAATACTAAAATATTGAACCTTTATGCTTACAAATTGTTCCGAATAACTTGAGATGACGATGCTTCTAATTGTTGTTGGCCTTATTGTTAGTACTTGACTGTTGTCTAGTCTTTTAAAAAGTCGAATAAATAGGTGTCAGATCTCACAAAATAAACATTTACATAAGTCTAAAAATTCGATATTTCTTCTAGAATGTCGAAATACGCGTTGTTAAGCAATTCGGTGTCTGTGTTATTATTTATACCATGCCTTTGTTCCTTGATGTGTATCATTTCAAATAGTATTCCTACGGGAAAAAGTAATGTAAATAATAGTTTTGAACTTTACAGCAAGCTAGCGGGTAAGAAAATTGGTGCGGAAGATATTCTAATATCATTAGACGTGGTTTCACTATTCACTAACATTCCGATAGATCTTGCAATAGAAAGTGTGAGCAATAGATGGAATTATATCAATACACATACATTAATTTCAAAAAATGAATTCATTTCCATGGTTAAATTTATATTGTCGTCAACATACTTCACATTCAATGACATTGTATACAAGCAAGTTTATGGCACACCTATGGGTTCCCCGTTATCGCCAATAATTGCTAATATTGTTATGCAAGATCTTGAAGAATCAATAATTAATGAATTGGACATCGGTATTGGAATATATTATAGATTTGTAGACGACATTATTATGGTGGCACCAAAGAATAAAATTGATAGCGTATTGAATAAGTTTAATAGTTACAATCAACGACTACAATTTACGATTGAATACGAAATTAATAGAAGAATAAATTTTCTAGATTTAAACATTAAAATAATAGACAACATCATACACTTAGATTGGTTTCAAAAAAAGACATGTTCAGGTAGAGTACTATCTTTTTTATCGAGTCACCCTATGTGCCATAAAATAGGAGTAATTTATAATCTTATTAATAGGGCATTGTTATTATCTCATCCCATATATCATAAGAAAAATTTAGAACTGTGTATTAAAATATTATTGGACAACGGTTACCCTATTCATTTAATCTTTAAAGAAATAAATAAGAGAATAAGAGTTTTAAACAATGGTCAGTTTAACAACAATAGAAAAAAAGAAATTGCAGAAGATAATAGCAAGAAAAAATTTTTCGTCATTCCATACATTAATAACATTTCTGAGACAATAGCATCAACAATAAAAAAATCAGATTTCAGAGTAGGATACCGTTGTCTAAATAATCTTAACAAATTAATTAAAGTCCACAAGGACAAAAACGTGCATAACAATAATAATAATAATTCTTTAGGGGGAATAGGGGATACATGGAATTAAAAATCTCTTGTAGAGATTATTCCAATTTTATATCTTGGCCGCGTCCAAGTAAAAATTTGGTGCCTTGTGCACAGGTATTTAATTCTAACGGAAAAAAAATTTAGTTTCGTTTAGAATAACGCACTGTCATCCGCGATTTGGCTCTTATTGCCTATCTTATATATGTTAAATTTATATTTATATATTACAGAGCCTAGTTAAACTCTTAATAATAATAATGTTGTCTACAAAATTAATTGTAAGGATTGTGAAGCTTCGTATGTTGGGCAAACCAAAAGAAAATTACGCACTAGACTAAAAGAGCATATGAATAATATTAAAATTGATTCCTCCAAGCATTCTGTGGTCTCTGAACATATTATGGAAAAAAACATGCTTTTGATTGGGATAACGTTAAAATACTTGATATTGAATCTAATTATTATAAAAGACTTATCTCGGAAATGATACACATCAAGGAACAAAGGCATGGTATAAATAATAACACAGACACCGAATTGCTTAACAACGCGTATTTCGACATTCTAGAAGAAATATCGAATTTTTAGACTTATGTAAATGTTTATTTTGTGAGATCTGACACCTATTTATTCGACTTTTTAAAAGACTAGACAACAGTCAAGTACTAACAATAAGGCCAACAACAATTAGAAGCATCGTCATCTCAAGTTATTCGGAACAATTTGTAAGCATAAAGGTTCAATATTTTAGTATTTAGTTTAATTTATAATTTTTAATCTTTTTCACATACACATTAGTGGAATCCTATTTTACAATTGAATAAATTCTTTAAATTCAGTTAACAAATATCAAATAATTTGGAGAGGATGAACATAATCATTGCCAGATCGAGGGACTTTCGTCAAATAACGATAAGTGGTTCATTTGGAGTAATGTATAAGTGTCACTCCAAGTTTTTATTAATAATTCTAATATATTTTATGAATAACCGGACGAATCATTCTGCTTCTAATTGGGTTCTTACTTTGTTGAACTATTTTAATGGTCTCAATTCATTGTAAATATATTTTGCGTTTTAACTATGACTCAACTATATAACTTATATTGACTATGTATTGCGGATTTTTTATTAGAATTTTATGTATTTATTTATTATCGTTATTTATTATCACTATTTTTTTGCGCACTGAAGAGGAGCAAGTAGAGCTCGAAACGTTTGTATAATTATTATTTCAAATTAAGAATTTTCTTCTCAATAATAAAATAATATCGTATTGCTCGTTACACATGGCCTTAATTTAATAATTTATCATTGTTTATAATTATTATATATAATTATTTTTATTTATTATATATATATATATATATATATATATTAATTATATAAATATAATTATTATAATATATATAATCTTTTCAACTGTTTGTTGTATATAATTTATATGTACAACAGTTAAAAAAATACACATATACTTTGTTCTATTATCTCTCGATTTGAAGTTGCACCCTGATTCGCGCTCATTGTGGCCGTACCTGACGCGGCTCTGGATTTGCTCCCACCTTCACGGTGGCGGATCACTGTTCGCCGTAACTGCGGTCCATCGTGCACGTCGGAGAGGACCGCGCGCGTGCGATTACACGTAACCTGCATTGAGACGACGACGAAACGCATTGTGCGTGCCGTGCATCCGCGAATTATCCTAAAACGATTCGTGTCGCGAAATCATCAACGAAAGCTAGATTACGATTCGATCGATCGCGGCGGGACCGGATTACTTTGCCGACTATCTATCTCGCTCTTATCTCTTCTTTTCAGCGGCCGGGGATTGTTTTATACCTCGGAAACCTGGGAGAACGAGCAGAGATTCGACATACGCGAGTTTGGCGGTGGAATTACGACGGCCCTGATGAAATTTCGCGGTCGTGAACGCGAGTCAACGGCCTTATCATCGGCCACGTTCGGCCGCGTCGAATCTCACCGTCACTTCCGATCGCGCCAATCTTTCGAAGAAGAGCAGAAAGCATCTCTCGAAATATCCCCGAGTGACTTGTAGAAGAGAGGAAAGTGTGAAAATCAAAACCCCCGCATCGAAAGAGCGGAAGCTGCAGAGTAAAAGAAGTTACAAGCGGTGTGAAGTTACTCGAATCTCAATCGCCGAAGGGAGGAAGAAGAGGGAGAAAGAAGAAAGCGAAGTAAGCTGCAATTCTGGAGCAAATTCAAGGTACACAATTGCGAGGGGGCAAGGAATCTCGGAATCCGATCGCGCGCGGTGCAAATCAGTGAACGGCCGCGCGTCTCGTGCTGCAGCGCGCAAGAAAGTGGGAGGAAGAAAGAGAGAGAAGAGAGAGAAGAAGGTGGGAGACGGGAGAAAGAGGGCGCCAGCCACGGATACCGCGCGCCCGCGAGACTGACTGGACTGGACGTCGCGGAGTGTCGTGTCGCGTTGTGGGCGAATTCCGCTGTCGTGCGCCGCCGGCTCGCTCTAGTCGCCGCGAGTGTGTCAGTGAGTTCGTAGACGCGAAACTAACCTAATCCCGCGCCGCATCATTCGTGTCGTGTATCAGTGTGTGCGTGCGTGCGTGCGTGCGTGCGTTCGTTTCGTTACGTTACGTTTGATTCGCGAATTCCTCGTCCTACGCGTATATCGGTTTCGTCATCGCGGCGACCGATCGATCGGTCCAATTTCGACGGTCTCTCTTCCCGTGGGCGGACTCGACTCGAATTTTTGTTTTCGTCGTTATAGAAGAGTGAAGAAATCGGAAGAGCCGAAGAAGATCGGCTGCGCTTTTTCGTGTCACGCCCGTCGAACTGTCACGTGACACGCTCGCGCGCGCGCGCGCGCGTGCAAACTTTGTTCAATTGTGATTCTTCTCAGCGGAGGACACAATAACATTGCGTTTAGTGGACGTTCAAGTGCGACGAGGTACTCGAGGAGAGCAGCGGTCGTTCTATGCGGCAAGATGATGGAGACACAGAATTACTGGGAGGAGAGCTCCGCGCATTCGATGCAGGTGAAATACGAGAGGTAAGTATGTGCGATATGTGTGTATTTCAAACGAATTTAAAAATCGACACTCGATTGTGGTTAAAATTAGATAAACCTGACATTTATAACAATTCATTTAGTCCCTAGATATATATCTGAGAGATATATAAATCAAACATTTTTTAGCATAAAAGACACGCGTTTTAAATGACACCGATGCAAATCAATTTTAATAGGTCGTATATATTAATTAGATGCGAAACTTTCTGCACCTGATTCAATTTGACAATTTAATAATTGGATAATTTCAACGTGCAAAATGAAAAATAATAATTCATGCAATTTATTTTGAGTTTTAATTAAATTAAAGTAACAATTAAAATAAAAATCAAAATAACAATTAGAGTAACAATTAAAATAAAAATTTGCCTTTTCCTGCGACGATTTTAAGCTATTCCAAGTCCCACAAAATCGAATAGTTCTCTGCATATACATATTTTGAAGATTAAATGAAACATATAGATATATACAATATATATATATATATATATATATATATATATATATATATATATAGAACTGATCGTAAACAACTGCGAATAAATACATCTGCGCTGGCAAAATAAATATTAATATCATAAAATACATGAGATATATGAGTGGGATTCATTTTGATACTTTACTGCACAGAGAGAATTTTCTCTTAGAATTTATGAAAATCATAATAAAAAATATTAATATGTACCACAATAAAATGTTTGATAAATTGTACTATATGTATAGTAAAATACATAAATATAATAGTATTTTTACTATATGTATAGTAAAATTTATTAGGTAGATATTTCATATTTTTTATTGTGATAAATATTAATTAGAGAACTAAATTAAAATTAATTGGACAGACTTGTAAAATTCTTCTAATACCATATTGTCTCACGCGACTATACCATGATTTTCAGGGTAAATTTTAAAAGAAAATTCTCTTTGTGTGCAATTTAAAAACTATTGTATTTGAATTGCATATGTACGCACGTTGTTTACGAGAATGAATATAATGGGAGGAAAAGAGGAGACACAGGGGAGGTATACACATGTTTCTCTGTGTTTCTCTTCTTGCATAAACGACTGTCATGGGTCGGAACGTGTTATGCCGGGGGGGATATCGCTAGCGTCATTCGTCACGTGTATAGAAATCAGGCAGGAGAGTACCAGAGATACATGTCATTTACATCTTTTATCATATCGGTGTCGCGTGCACGTGCGAGCGGGATGGAAACGGCGCTATTTTTCCGATCACGACCACGAAGCGGCGACGTGCGTACCTTGTCTTGTTTTCCACGTAAAATTTATATGTACGTTATTGTTGTCCGCGCAAACGAACGAGCATGTGATAGACGACGATTTCGCGAAGTCATTAAGTCTCTTTTCTAAAGACGCGAAGAAGTTGACACGTGCGGACGCGTGACGTAATGACGCGGAATGAAAAACAATGTTAAGCGTGTCGGTCGTTTTTGCCAACGACATGTAATAAATGGGCACAGGTTTTAAAGTTCCTGGTACTTTCTCGCTTCAGTTCGCGAATTCGTTAATTAACTTCGTATATTTTTTTCGGAGCAAATTGGAGATCATAATTGTTTAGCAACAATTGAAAGCTCGAAGACGCGATCTTTCGTCTGCTCTTGATACATTCGATTATTACGTAAAGAAATATTTACGTATATTGTGCTTAATGCGCATTTACACGTATATGCTCGTTGCGTAACGTCGCGATGCATTTTTAGTTCACATCTCGCAGCTTCTTTCATCTCAACTATTTCTTATCTGCGCATCGATTCACGCATGCATGTATGTACGTACACAAAAAGTCTAGTCTTCTTTCTCTGAAAAGATTATCGAAGAACATTAATCGGTTATGTTTTTCTTTCTACCTGTATTTTCGAGTAGGCATGCATATTTTCGTCACGTTTTTGTATAAAAGAAATTTAAATAAGAGGCAAAGAGTATTATGTTTGACGTTTAGAATACATTTTTCTCTCTACGACACAAATCTTTTCTAAATATAATTTTTAAAATTAAAATTTTAAATGCGCAGAGAAAATATGTATCGCTTTCGGTATAGGGCGATCTTTTAGGATAACAGGGAACTCTCGCGTATTTCATCATCACCTGTTCTGAAAGTATCGTTTCGAATTTCGTTAGATAAGTAAATAGTATTGGTATATGAGAGAGAGAGTTGGCTCCATTCATGATTTCGCGCAAAGTTCTGAGATCCGTAACATCGAGATCTCTTATCAGAAAAGCAGCATGGTATACGGAAAGTTACAGTATATCATCGTGTAAGTACACAGGTGCTTTGGCTCGGACTTTCTCTCTTTGCGGGCGAGATTATTTTCTCCCTCTATTTATGTGTTCTCTTGATAATTAGATTTGTATAGATATGCTTTATTTGTGTTCCCTTGAGAGCGCACCACCAAAAATTCATGGCCGCGTACGAGATAAGATACAGAAATTGTATCGGCGGTCTGTCGATTACACGTGTATACGTTACAAACTCGGTCGTTGTTCGTGTCACATCGAGGAGAGAAACGAGAAATCATTCCATTAATATATACTGACGTCGTTCGATATACTGAAACGTGTCTCGTTCGAGTTTGAAATCATAATCGCTCTTATCGAAAATGACAATGAATAAAAATTATCACTATTATGGTATTTAAGCATATAATTACTTCATATATGATGATATAATTTATTTTATCGAGGTCTCATAAATATTCTTTATAATTTTTAGTTATTTATAATGCAGAAATTATTTAAAAGAATCATTTTTCGCATACATACAATGAATATACATATATGATTATGAGTCATTCTATACAGACAATTTTTTTTAGAATCTATCTTGAAAATTTTTGATTAATATTTAGCACAATAAGATATAAAATATATTCGATTAATTTTACTACGTGCATAATAAAATTTATTATGTACGTATTAATATTTTTTTCTTGTGCTAAATATTAATTAGAGAAACTCAAAAATTCTTCCAATACCATTATTGCCTCATGATTACCATGATTTTTAGAGTAAATTTTAAGAGCAAATTCTCTCCATGTTATATGTCGATCGTACAGAAAACAGTGTTTTATAAAACGCTATTTTTTGCGTCTTGGCGGTTGTACCGGCCATTGACACTGCCGATCGATCTGTAGGGATTTATTCACGCGTCTTTTTATGTCTCTCGTGTACATATATGCATATGACAGGCAGTTGTATGAATGCACGTCTGACCACCTGCATGGATTAGTGCATATTTGCGGTACTATACAACTGATAGATGATACTAAACAAAATTTATTACGAAGATACGTAATTATAATGTGTTAGTCGTAATTATGAAAATTAAAGATCATATCGCGTAAGGAATAAGAAACTGTAGAGATAAAAAGAAATTTTATTATTTTGGAAAACATATATTTGATTTTTAATAGAATTTCACTTTGAGAGTCGATTGTGACAAACCGTAAAGAAAAATGAGATATTTAATACTCAAGATCTTCTTTCATAAATAATTTTATTTTCAATATTTTTTTCTTATTTTGGTATTTCCTTATTTTAACATTTCTTCAATTATATTTTTTGCGTCTGATCACGATTTTGATATCCGCCTCGTCACGATCGAACAATACCTACATGTGCAATGTATGTATGTCGCGATATCAAGACTATGGCTAGTGACGCAAGCGGGATGAGTGCCTGCGTCATGGAAAGCAACTGTGACCTGAACGGGATCGCGATGTAATTAAAAGACCGGCCGGATGTAAGGTATTTCGGCAGCGTTATCTATGTGCGTCACAATATTGTCAATAGGAATATTACATTTTTTCCGACATCAGCCATTTTCGTGCATACGCGTATTATCATTTCGTCGATGGAATGCTCGAAATCACGTTGAAATATTTTCGATTTTTAAAGAAAAATTATAAGGCTTGTAATTATGCGACGATATAATCCATTATGTATATACCCCTGAATTAAGTTTTGCATTTTTAACATAATAATATAGAGTCGTTAATCTAGCAAACATAATTAGTATTTCTCTTAATATTTCTCTATAAATATTAACGAGAAAAATAATATGTGTTTTACCTTAGGTTTGGATTCGTAAAATTCAACAGACTGAATTGTGAAATTTGTTAACGAAGGATAACGAAATGCCTATTGCGTTTCGTTCTGTTAGTTTTCTTGTGCTTTTGCGTTTCTTGCGCCTATTGAAAATCCCGATAACTCGATAAACCGACAAACATATATCATCCAAAGAATGAATCGAAACGAATTAATGACACTTGTGGGAGTTCAAGGAGATATAATAATGAAACGTCACGCGCACGATGCTGCGCCATGCGTTTCAATTATGCACATTCAAGAAGCGTGCATAATTAGAGACGGATGCATATGTGTGCGGGTCTCGCGTAGCTCCACGTGCGCGAACGAAGGTAAATCTCTTATAGTGCACCTCTGTTATGGATGCCATATTCCAAACTCATTTTCCGTTCGAGTGCTGCAAATTGCTATAATTACCAACCGTGTTACAGCAAGCGGCACAATTGCGCGCCGGCTTTTTGCTTAGAATGTAAATTCCGCTTCTTATAACAGTATTGTGTCTCGCATCGCATTGTGCTTGACGCAGATGTATCTCTTGGCAGAGTGTATATGACGCGCTTTATCTTTTAGAATTATTAAAGTGTCGTGCTCGTAAACGCATTCGCACTTGCAATTGGATCAATCAAAACAGCCACGACAATTCAATATTTTGCAATGAAAATGATAAAGTGAAATAATGAAAATAGTGCGAAATTGAAAAACACGATTAACAAATTATTAAATAATAAATATCGGTAATGTTATATTGGTTGATGTAAATTTTTACAAAAAGATGCTCATTTAATAATCACTGTATAAATATTTCGACGCGTATAATTATATTAGATTATATTAGATTGATAAACATTAATGTTCTCACTGGAAAATATCGC